TACTGTATAATCAGATTATGCAGGCAGGGAAGGGAGTGTTTGTGACACCAACAACTTTCCCAGAGAGTCTCAAAAAGAACTAAACCAAACCAAATCAAATAAATAACCCAACCAAATTCTGTAGCTGTGGCTTTTGAGATAGTTTGCTTGGCTAGCTCCCTTTTGAGATTTTATTATCACTTTTTACTAGGCTATGATCAATGAAAAAAAGGCAAAATAAACTTCCTAGGTAATTAGGATAACTATGAAGTTTTAGATCCTTTCAGAGTAAATTACTTACAAACAGCTTACAAAACCTAGTGTAAAATTCTGAGTTAAACAAGTAGCCAAGTCCCCTAAATTCTAATCTAATTTCAGTGATTCTATGTGAAGATTGGTATTGTCCATTGAATATATTGTCTGAATTATTATTAGGAAAAACAGGTTATGAATCAGAATATTAATAACAACTTCAATTGAGAACAGATTCAGAGTGTATTTAAAATAAGGCAAGGGTAAATTCATACAAAATAATTCCTATCAGTTACGCTATGGTACAGTCTAATAGGTATCTTCTGAATAGCATAGATTTCTCTAGAACAAGAGTAACCTGTTTTTCAAACTCGAAACAGGTAATAGCTTCAGAAGAGTAGGGTTCTCATTAGTTAATACTAGTTCACTATACCGACACACTGTATTTTTTAATACTTATAGCTAAAGATACGAGTGAATATTTCCTGTGATTTATGGAAAAAACTATAGACATCTTGTTCTGTAAGCACAATGACATTTGCTCTTAATAACATTAAAATGGTATACTGTTGCTATTTTTTTTTTTTTGTTTGGTTTGTTTTTCAGCAGTTCCACTGCTAAGACTAAAAACAACCGAGTGCATGAGTCTCCCTCCTGTTTACACAAAAAGCAGAGTAAGTTAATTTCAGTGAGTGTTTAGCATGACAAACATTTTCTAACTCACATTGAAATGAGCTGCAGTGCTAACAGGATCATTCCCTTTACTGGGAACAGCTAGGGTAAGCAGGTAGCTTCTTGTACCACTCAGCTTAGTTACAAGAGAACCAGTAGTCAGTCACAATAGAGACTTTCAAAAACTCAGCTTGATCTGAGTTGTCAGCATGTTATTACAGGATATGAGCTCAGCCAGTGCACACATGTCTTGCTTATACTTACAGGCAGCCCTTTAACACAACACAGAGGAGTGTCAGGGAAATCCTTGCATGGATTTCCTCTGAACTTTTCAGAAAGAGGGAAGACTATAGAAATGTAGGGAAATAATACCCAAGGTATTCATCATCCATAAGCTTGGATCTGCCTTTGAGTATATAAGTCATAATTGGTCTTAGAAGTTTTTACAAGCATTAAAGCCAGCTGGAAGTTTAAAGTCAAAGAAGACAAGAAAACTAGAAACATCTTATTCAGTTGGTGATTTTCATCCAGGGTATTAGTTAAGCAACTTAAGCTATATGAAACACAAATATTTGGAAATAAGCCATAAATAAGCTTATAGCACACAATTAGGACAAAAGACCATTGAATCATGTCCAATTCTCAAGGGTTAAGTTCCTTTCCTAGCTATTGATAATATTAGCATTCTACTATATCTTGTTTCATCTGCTTATATTCAAAAGTCAAATTCACCTCTTTGTGGGGGCCACTTTAGTTTCTTATTGCATATAGCTAAGGAGGCTGAACTACTCCCTAACACAACTGAGGACTTCATAGATCTGTGGGATTTTTATCACATTTTTAGACTGGGCTATAGGTCAGGTCAGCTGGGCTTCTTTCAGCCTCAAAAGGAAGTTAAAAAAAGGAAACTGAAGACAAATTAACCATTCTGAGAAGCACTTTACTGAACAAGAATTAGGTCAGAAGCAATGCTAAAACATGTTCATCCCAACAGTAGAGGTCACTAAAATGTATAGAGAAGCTTCATTATTTAGACAAAATCATCCTAAGTTTATTTTCTAGAGTTTGTACCTCAATTATATGTTACTCATTTGCAAAGTGACCTTGAATGGGATAGCTTCAGTTTCATTTACAGGTTTGTTTTTTTAAACTAACAAAACCCACTGAGTTGGGGGGCTTGTGGTTTGTTTTTTCTTTTTTTTTGTGTGTGTGTGTGGTTTTTTTCTTTATTTTATTTTCAGTAAAACATAAATATGCAATGGCATATCTCAGAAAAAGTTTAGTTTCTAATCCTTGCTTACTCTGAGAAATTCTTCAGGTTTTTAAAAATCTTGACAGTGTTTTAAAACCATATGCTTTATGATATGAGAGATCAAGAATTTTCTTGTTAGAGTTGAAATCATTTATGATGCTTTCCTATTCAAAACATGACCTACTTTTAAAGAAAATTTCATAACACTGGGAGTAGGGAAAATTAATCACAAATATCTGATTATTTGTTTCAGACTAAGATATAAAACATTCCAATGCTTATTAGGACACAAAAAAATTTTTCTTCAAAACACTACTCAGAGTCTAGAAACAGTGATTTTCCCACATAAGTAGACAATTATGCACATTCATGAATATTTTGTTTTCTCTGGGTCAGAGCATATCCTTTTGGCTGGTTCAACTACTCTGATATAGTTGTGTCAGAATTAACAATTCTGTTGTTGTGAAGATGTTTTTGGTTTTATCAGAACAGTTTTCGAACCTGTATCATATATAATTAATTATTTTTAAAATGTTCTTTACAAAAATATTGCTATTTGGACATTTATAGGTAATTATTCCTATTTTTCCCTAACCAGTCTAGTATTTTAACACCATCCTATGCCTTTCAATAGCTCAAGGACTGTGATTTAATGTTTGTGTGATTTAATGGGGTCCTGTGATGACCCCAACTCCACTTAATCATCCCTGAGGGAAATTAACAAAGGAATAATCCACATTGTGACTTTAAATTGGATTCCACAGTTAGTAGAGTGATCAAATAAAATAAATCACAGAGTATCATCTGTTGTATCCTAGATGTCACTTAAACCCATAGAGAAGCAGGACTATTTATTCTCTCAGTGCCCATTCACTGTAGGCCGATATGTAGTCCCATTAAAAGAGAAGAAATTATTTGAATAATTGGTGACTACTCAGCATGGCAGAAGGGAAGTTAGCATCCTTTTGCAAAAATGGACACCTACAAAAGTCATGGAGAAACATCCAAGATAACTAAAAATACATTTAAAAAAATACTCAAAACAATAGGAGCTTTCATGAAAATTCCTCCCTGGTATTCCTCCAGTAATGTGTTGATGTTAAATAAGAATGTGCTTGGTAAAAAACCTAGTCTTATTTAACCCAATGTAAATCAGACCTAGATTACTTAATTAGTATGAGCAGAGAATGAAACTGCTCAGGAAGGATTGTTTTCATAATGAACCAGTCAATTAAAGATCATAATATGGACTAGAAAGAGAGTAGGAGTGAATAGATTAGGTGAGCCATTGGAACTGGCTTCCCTAAGAAGTTGTGGATGTCCCATCCCCAGAAATGTTGTTCAGGTTGGACGGAGCCTTAAGCAACCCACTGTACTTGGAGGCTCCCTGTCCATGGTGGTGAGATTGGGACTAGATGAACCTTAAGGTTCCTTCCAACCCAAACCTTTCTAGGAATCTATAATTCCATGAATATCAAATTTATACAATTCAAATGGTTCCAATATCTACCCCTCTTGTGTTAACAGTAATTTAAGCCTGCTCATTAACAGTTCCTTTAGCACATTCATTTTCAAGTGATTTATTTTTCAGATTTACCTGAGGTTGCCATAAGTATTTTATACTTAAGGTGAAAGAGTGGCCTTGATTAAAATCTGGCTACATGCAAATACACAAGAAAACATCCCCAGATATCTAATTTCACATTTTTCAATTTCAATTTTTTGTAGGTGTCTGTGGAAGTGACTAGTTCTATTAATGATACCTAATATATTTTGGAAATTCAATTTTCTTCATTATATTATGCAAAGAACTGCATTCAGAAACACAAAAGTAAATTTTTTAACAACACAGGAAATCTAAACCAAAAACTAGGAGTCTAGCTATACAATTATTTATAGCAGTCTGCTTCATAAAATGTTTGTATGAATCAGTGAGAACGAATACAAACAAAATGCAGCTATCTGGAGAGTCAGTACAAAGCCCATTAGTACTATTTGCTATATCTGCTTATTAAACTCATGAACATTGCTTTTGAAATTTAACCTTAGTTCTCATTGTTGAAGGATCATCCACAATGTCTCACACTCTCTGACAATTCCCTTTAAAATAATGTCAGACCTAATATATTTGTCAAGTATCAAAAAATCATAATATCAAAAAAATGTGTTTCATTGCATTAGAATAACACCATACAGCTAAAAACATATTTTTCTTATCCCATCTTCAGCTATTTTCTGAAGGAAGTTAGGATTATACAAGTAACTACTGAGCTGCATAATTTATGAAAATAGAAACGCTGTGAAAACACTGCTTTCCAACAAAAAAATGTGGTATGAACTTCTGCAAACTCATAACAATATTTTCATGACACTTATATCCATAATACCACACCCATGAAAAGGTACCAAAGTTTTACTAGTTTATGCCATTACATATGCATTTCACAAAGTAATTTAAAAAAGGTTTTCAGTAGTAAAACTCTAATCTGTGAAATTTCTGGATTTATACTAATTTCTAATCAAAACTAAGAAGTAACTTTTTAACAAACTGTCACTTAGAAAATTTTAAAAACTTACCTGGTTATGGTAAGTAAAAATTTTATTACACTTGAAACACAAATTATGTTTGATGGGATTTTAGAAGTAGCAAAATACATGAAGAGAAGAATCAAGCTAGACATAACTTAGCCACATACTTCAAATACTATTCTCTGATCTTCAGGTCTTTTGCTGGGCATTTCAGACTGTTTTCCTCCTTTCCATCAGCATTTTACTAACTCATACTTTGTCCCTCAAGAGATTTATAGAAAGGAAACATTAAACCCACAAGCTTAAGACCCCTTACCCTCTCAGTTTGCTGGGCTTCTCTTGCTTCTCAGTGTAACAGACACATGTGTAAACAACAGAATTTCCTGCATCCTTTTCTCATCTGCACTGTACTGGGACTTGGCCAATTGGATTATTTACAGCATTAAGGCCACTCCACAGAAACTTGAAAAAGATTCTCATTGGTCAGGCATTATCAAAACTAAAACCACATTTTTAAGTACAAGTCATTTATACAAAATAAAATGTTCTGTCATACTGTTTGTCAGTAAGCATTATTTGTTCAGTTTTTATTTTTCCCTCCTTTTCTAACTGAAGATTGTGATCCCAGTCCCCTAAAAATTATGTATAAAATGAAATTAGCTATTTGAATCACAGTACTTAAGCACAGGTCCTAGTACTCATACAAATTGGTTGGATTCTTATGCCACTACCTGCTCCTGCCATCCCTCCTGAGTTTTAAATAGCCTAAAATAAGACTAGTTTTTCCCTCAGCTGGATGATATAACCTTGAAAATACATGTACTTTCATAATTAGCTCTGCAATTAGCCAGGGGCTCTTGGAAGTTATTACGAAAAAACTAGAATATTCTAGATTATCAGAGAGGTGAAAGACCAAGGCAAGAAAAGTCAAAAAGTAAAAACCACCCAAAACTTTGGAAAGCTCGTTTTGCATTAAAATTTACAGTTACATATTAAAATATAAGGTAAGAAATATTTCTTTCTGGAATACAAACTCCAACATTTTTGTAACCAACATGACAAAGCATGACACCAGTGTCCCAAGCCTGATATCAGAGGCTGTCTAATTGGCAGGTCCTCAAGGCATAAAACTGATATAGATAGACAGAGCTGGGATGATTTGCCATAGCTGTGAAAAGCCAAACATTTCTCATTAAAAAAAATCCCTCATAATGTACAGAATACTGACAACTCCTGTGTCACAGTCTCAGACTGAGAAGCCAGATTTCCTTTAGCTTTAAGGGACATATCTCTACTTCCCTACTAATATCCCAACACTTTTAGCAGCATTATAGCAGGTAGTCTTTCCATCAGGAATATTAGCTATAGTTGCATGACCCTTCTGTTGTCTGACACTAGGACTTTCAAATTTATTTTTTTTTAATTATTTTAGGGAAATGAACTAGCAAATCCTCCCACTCTTCTATGACTCATAAAATCTTTTCCACTGCCAGGAGACAAAAGACATTGTCTCCCAAAAGACATAAGTAAAATAGGTGAAAAAAATCTCTCTATACATTTCTGTTAAAAACCCAAACCAAGTAAAAGCCACAAACCAAAGCAAAAAAAACCCCAAAATCCAAGGCAAAAAATATGACTCCACACAAAACAATCCCAAACTGAAGCACAAAAACCCAAACCAAACCTAACACCACAACAAAACAAAACCACAAGTCTGCATCATATTAAAAACACACACACAAAAAAACCCCAGCCCAACAAAACCCAAATCCAAACAATAAAATAAGGCAACAGCTACTTTATGCATCTTGCATGGCTCTTTAGCAACTAAATAGACCCCATCTCCCACTAGAACACTCTCTGGCTACATTCCATTACCCCTACTGAGGGAAATTGCTTCACATTTTAAGAAATCAAATTATATACACATCATAACTTAAGCTTCTAATAACTCATGTTTGAACCCATTCATGAGATTTCCCATTCATTTTTCACCATTCTTCACTTGCTATGATCTCTGAGTGCATCCAAGAAGGCTGTTCCATTGCCCATATTCAAACAAATTTGTGGTTTCTAAAGAAATCGATGCACATTTATTTTGTCTGAAAGGAAGTGAAGAAACTTGGTCATGCAAGTGAAGATATGTAACGGGGAATTTATCATTCAAAAATAAATAAGCACAAAGAAAAAAAGTGTCATTACAGCATGTGAAGGAACTAGTACTCCTGGAAATGTAATTTGATTACCTTTTGGGAAGGAAAACTGTATGCTTTCAAGGAAAAAAGGCACAAAAAAAGAATTATGTATAATAGATCAATAGTAAATAGTAAAGCTATAAAAACCCCTCAGCTTCTATTCTGTTGCATTCTGTTGTAATCAGCAGTTCTTGGAGGAATCTTGATTTTATACCATTGTTAAAAATGCATCTAGATTTAACTAAAAAAATTACAGCAAAATTGGGAAGTAACCATGTTATTTTTGTATCTTTATTTGCAAATAATGTCTTGGTTTTTAGTCTCATTTGGCCATTTACCTTGATGCTGTGTCACTGCAATAACTGCAGAACAGATGTTGCCAGTATGCAAGTTTGCTAACTCATCGCCTTCACATACGGAGTTGAATTGTCTTCCTAGAAGACTCCATGTATGTAAACAATTCTTAGTTCACACTAAGAACATTCATATATGCTCATGAAGAGAATGATGAGCAACTCTGTTTATTATTTTTGTAAGAATATTGTACTGAGAAAATATGATAAAGCCTATAGGCAGCATAAATAATCTAGAACATACGTTTCCATGTATGGCCTTAGTTGTCAATTGTGCTGTTGCACTCTTGATTAGGGTGGGATAGACTCCCTTCACTTTGAGTCCATTTGAACTTTGGCAGCATGCCTGACCTGCTTTTTCCAAGATCCACAGAAAGAGAACATGAAAGCCAAATTCTGAATTTTTAAATGTCAAGGCTCATCCCTTTGGGGGGGTCACAAAGGAAGAGACCTGATCCTTTTCAGGATCAATGAGCCAATGAAGAAGATTAAATAATTTGTCTCAGAGGAAAGTTAGAGCAAGTCTTTCTCAAAACATGGAAGTTTACAATATTTACTGTATTGATGCAATTTCCTTAGCAGATATAAGAAATTATCATTCAAGCCAAAAACAATAAAGCACTTCAAATACAAATGGCAATAAACCAGAACATTCCTACTATTGAAATTGGAAAATGGAGAGGGATATGAAGCACTAAAATTGCAACCTTTTGAAACTGGGCTTCCTTAAGTATTTTTTTAAAAACACATATATATGCCAGTTCTTTTTTATTGATAGAAGTAATTTTTAATTTTATTATTTCATAATATTTCACACAATTTCCTACCAGTGAGACAATAAACATCACATTTAATTTGAATATATAAGAATAGGAGGTCATCCTTTACTGTACCTCAAGCCAGACATGGTGTCTTAGGTGACAGAGACACATAAAAGACAACTTGACGTAGAACGTACCTTCAAGGCAAGAAGAAGGAGATAATAGAGGTGAAAAGTCATATAATTTTGAATCCCATCTCTACAGCAGCAGTTGGAAAGCCCAAACAATATATATAACAAAAAACTTATAAAACAAAAAAAGCAAACCTGTGAAGATATAAATAGTTACAGAAGAGATAATTCAATTAAACAAAAGGACCAAAAATTGAGACTCCACCAAATCTCATGCACATTGTAGGAAAACATCCTATGGTTCCATTTGATAGACAGACTAGGAAAAAGGCACAGGGTAATTATTTCCTAGAATATCTCTAAAATTAGAAATGCAATAAAGGGATAACATTCTCCTCCCATTTTCTTTTAACTTCTAACATATTCTAAACAAGTGATCTTATCAAAGCTTTGCTTTCACAAAGTTTAGGTTGTGTATGTATTGAGGGGAGCCCTATAGGGACGGCTTCTGTCAGAAGCTGCCAGAAACTTCACCCAGAGCCAAGATGGACCCAATGCTGGCTAGGGCTGAGCCCACCTGTGATGGTGGCAGTGCTTCTGGGATAATGTGGTTCAAGGGAAAAAACCCCACCCTGCACAACAGCAATTTGCACCTGAAGAGAGGAGCGAGAATAAGTGAAACAGCCCTGCAGACACCAAGGTCAGTAGAAGGAGGGAGAGGAGGTGCTCTGATCACTAAATCGGAGTCTCCCCTGAAGTCTGTGGCACAGACCATGGTGATGAGCAAGGTGTGTCCCAGAAGTTTGCCAAGGTCCACGGTGGACCACAGATCCAGCTCCAGGCTGTGGAAGATCCAATGCTGGAGTAGGTGGATGTGTGAGGGAGGCTGGGACACTCTGAAAAGCCTGAACTGGGGCAGGTTTCTGGCAGGACCTGTGGCCTTGCAGAGAGAGGAGCCCATGCTGGAGGAGGTTTGCTAGTAGGACTTGAGACACCCCCCACAGGACCCACACTGGAGAGCCTGTTCCTGAAGGATTGCACCCTGTAGAAAGGACTGACACTGGAACAATTTGTCAAGAACTACAGGTCATGGGAAAGACTCATGCTGGAGAACTTCATGGAGGTTGGTCTTCCTTGGGAGGACCCCCATATTGAAGATAGACGAGAGTGTGAGGAGTCCTCCTCCTGAGAAGGAAGGAACAGCAGAGATAATGCATGGTGAACTGACCACAGCCCCTATTTCATGTCTCTCTGTGCTACCTGGGGGAAGAATTCAACAACAAAGTTAATCCTGAGAAGAAGGGAGGGGTGGGGGTGTCACTTCTTATTACCACCCTATTCTGATTTGGTTGGTAAGAAATTAAAATAATTTCCCTGAGACTCTTTTACCCTGATGGTAATTGCTGAGTGATCTCTCCCTGTCCTTAACTCATGAGCCTTTCATTGTATCTTCTGTCCCCTGTCCAGTTGAAAAGGAAACGAAAAATTGGCTTCAGTTGGCACCTAGTGTTCTGCCATAGTCAATCCACATGCAGGCAAGATTTCATCAATAAAACTATGCATGTAACACTTCACTTCTAGCTAAGTAATTTTAAAACAGATGATAAAACTTAAAAGCAACACCTAACAGCAATGACTTAAAAAAAAAAAAATCTTAGTTTTAGTCCAGAAAAGTGATAAAGCATAACAGGAAGAAGCTTATTTAGGACTAATACTTTGCTCAGCTTGTTAGTTTTCAGTTATGACTTCGCCTGTGCAAGTTATTTTGATTCACAAGTGTAAACAGTGTTAGCAGATAAATGTAGATAATTCATCTTGTACAGATCTATGCTGCTGATTGAACTTCTTTGCTTATTAGAAGTGAAAGAGGAAATAACTGTATTACATTTGATGTGCTAGCCTATTAATACTTTTCAGCACATTTTGTGGTAGCAAATATGTGGTAAGCAAAGTTG